CACTCAAGATTCACCCTTCCAGAGCTGCTCCAGGCTGGGGTGGGGGTGAGGCGGGGAGGGGACACGTCATGGACTTCTTATTTTTTAATTAAAAAAAACATATTTTTTAGCCAAAGATGAAAACACCTCTGTCCCTAGCGTTCGAGTTTTGTTCTTAAGATGCAAACGAAGAGCATACATTTATTTTTTTGTTTCTCTTTACTCCATGTCAGACTGCTTTTGTAAAGGCAGAGGTGCTCTGCTTTGGGATTCCAGGAATTGGTGTGAAATGTGGGTTTTGCAAATGTATCATCAGAGATGTCTCACTGTGAGTCAATAACACACACAGCTTATGTATGGGTCTCATTCTAGGGGGCATCTTTCTTCTATGGTAGATTCTCTTATGATTTTGGCTAATGAGTAACAATCTTTTAAATACTCTGTTTTGTCCCTTACAAAGACTGGTTATAAATAAGGTGCTACAACCACAAAATGAAATGCTTTTTTTTTTAAAAAAAAAGTGAAGTCCGGGGATGGAGCTCAGTTGGTAGTGCTTGCCACAGGCATGAAGCATGGGGTTTGATCCTCGGTTCCTTATAAACTGGGCATGGTGGCACACACCTGTAATCCCAGGATTCTGGAGGTGGAAGCAAAGAAGATCTGAAGTTCAAGCTCAGCCTGGGCTGCAGGGGACCCTGTCTCAAAAGCAAAAACAGGGTTTGTAGTGATTTGACACGGAGGCTTCCCCTTTATCGTATGCTTTTGTCAAGCAGAGAAGGCATCGGTGGACATCAGCTTTGGTATGGCTCCCACTGAAAATGGAATCAAGCTGGGTTTAGGGATTGAGATTTAATAGGCAATATCTTCTCATTTTTATTCACTAGAGAGAAAGATGGTTTTGAATTACAGATTTCTTTAAAAAAAAAAAAAGAAAAAGAAAACGGGTTTATTGGGTACTCCGCAAAGGGCCGCAAGCTGGGTAGTAATAGGAGTAGTGACTGCAGCCAGGCTGAGGTTTTAAGGAGCCATTGTCTGAGAAAATTTAATATGGAGGCAATTGCAAAATGATATCTATGCTATTTTGCTATATGGATGACATAAAATATACTAGAAAAGATGTGTTTTTAATTAAATATAGCTGGCTGGAATGTTTCAGCTACGTTTAATATTTCAGAGCATTTAGTGCTCTCTGATACCAGTTTGGACAGTATGGATCAAACTATCCCAGCCTCAGGTTAGAGTCTCTAGTGAGTGTTGGTAAATTCTACATAAAAGATTATCTGTACCATTGAGTGTGGTGGTACATACATGTAATTCCAACACTCTGGAGGGGGAGGCAGGAAAATATGGAGTTCAAGGTCATCCTTGACTGCATAGTTAGTTTAAGGCCAGCCTGGGCTATGCAACAACAGCAAAATATTACCTGATAAAAGGAAGATAGACAATTGCTTCCTAAATTTATGGTCTTTGTATTTTATTTTTAACATAAAAAAAAAAGGAAGAAAAAAAATCCCTTTCACTTCTGCCCCTTTTCTGTTTCACTCACCGGAACAACTGGTGCTGATTAAGAAGCCATCCTATGCATAATGCCGTTAGTTCAGTGGCCTAATGTCCTAGTTATCCAGTTAGTGGCAGGCAGTGAGGTAGGGATTTGGTTAGTGGAGTCAAACCGAGAAACAGAAATCTGATTAGCCAGTTGCCATCTGAGGTTGTTGGCTGAAACCTTGACTGTTGAGTGGGGAGCAGTTTGTTTCGTGAGGTTTAGTTTCCAACTGTTCGGGGACCCTGCTGCTAAGGTTGTAGTCCTCCATGTCCAGATAGCTCTAAGGGGCTTGGCGCTATATGGAAGGACTCCCTTTCTCAGTGGGGGCCTCCTACTCTCTGCCTGACTTACCTGGAAAGTGCCACCAAGCACGGATGCCTGCCCTTATTTGGAACATGACCTTTGGCATAGTTACCTGCAATAAAACTGCCCCTAGGTTTTTTCTATATGATAATTAGGCATTGCCCTATAGTCGGATGATAGGATCCCCCTGCCACATGTAAATAAAGCATACTATGCACACCTATCAGCTGAGGCTTTGGCTGCTGCCTCCACACTATATTTTCCCAAACCTCCACTGAATAAATAGAGCTGTATCACTGAATCTGACTCCCTGGAAGGGCTTCCATCGTGCTCACTGGCCGTCCTGACCCCGTTTGTTGCTTCTGCTCCCTTTGTTCTCATGGATCGGTGGCCAACAACCCACAAGGGGAAGGAGAGAAACCACATCCAATAGGCTGTAGGACTCTACTCTTCCAAACGGTCTCCTTTAGGGTGCTCTTCCCTTGGTACCCCTCCTACTCTCCAGAGCTATTTCTCATTTTTCCTTAATAAATCTAAGTTTACTCTGTTAAAAAACATAAAGGGACTAGCAAGATAGTTCAGTGGTTAAGAGCACTGACTGCTCTTGCAGAGGACCCAGGTTTGATTCCCAGCACCCACATGGAGGCTAATAACCATCAGTAACTCCAATTCCAGGGGATCTGACACCCCCTTCTGACCTCCACAGGCATTGCACAACATGGGTGCACTTACATATATTCAGACAATACACTCATATACATAAAATAAAAATATTTAAAAAACAAAAACCACAAACCCCAAAACAGTAACAGACCCTTCTCCCAAAACAAAGGGTCTCCTCTAGAACTTTCCACCAACAGAGAATATTCTTCCGTCTGTAGATAGAATCAACTCATCAGACTCACTTTACCTTTTCTCTAATATAACAATGTCAGAACAGTTTCTAGCCAGATTTTTTTTTTTTTTTTTTTTCCCTCCAGACAGGGTCTGGCTATGTAGCCCTGACTGGCTGGGTCCTGGTCTGACTTTGTGATGATCCTCCTGCCTCTGTCTCTAGAGTGCTGGGATTATAAGTGTGTGCCACCATGCGTGCCCAAGGTCTAGATTTCTGAGCTGTCCATTTGTTTGTATCTTCCAGGGCTAATCTAATTTCTTTCTTTCTTTCTTTTTTGCTAAGTTTTACAGCTAGAAAGGCCAGAAGTCTGAGTATGTTGCCTACTTTACAGTACACAGAGGTGCTCAAGACATCTGCAATTTGGCAAATGATGGTTTCCTTAGGTCTATGGGTATAGACAGGATCACTCTACAGAGGAATTTTATTTTAAATACTGGAAGCAATGGTGGTGATGTTACGAGCATTGGCCTGTGTGGGGACTGATGACGTTGATGATGTTCCCTTGTCCCTGTTTCTTTTTCAACCCTCTTTCATCCTGCTCCAGACACTTGCTCTTCCTCTTCTGGGATCCCCTTTTCAGGTGTCTCTCATCACAGGGTAGTGACACAATGATATTCTTGCCACCTAGCCTTCCAGACTTCGGTCTGGGGGGTGGTTTCTTCGGGGAAATGGGGGGAGGCATTGAAAGGTTTGTGATTGCCAACTGGGTCAGACATTGAACAATGCCCATTGTCCTTACCTGTGGGCTGGGATTGGTGCAAAGGTTCCTAAAGCAGGAGGCAATTGGTTGTCTCTGGTTCACCTGCTCATATACTGCCACCTAGTGGTTTCTTCTCCTTCCACACCCTGTGTAAACGGGATGTTATGAATACTTCAATTTTGCCCCCCCATCCCAGACCCAAATTGTCCCATTTTCTTACCTTTCTATCCATCATACACAAAATTGTTTCCTTTTTTATTCCTGCATCTGGAAATGAGTAATTAGCATAAGAATTTTTTTCCCCTTGAGAAACTTGGAATCCACTGACATCCCTGTGGGTTCCCTAGTTTCTTTCCTGTGGTGATGTGAGATGAGAACTTGCTTACAATATGGTCCTGACAGAGGTGAGGAAGGCTTCTGCCAATCGAGGATGACTCTAAACAGGCAGTTTTGGTAATAAAATTCCTATAGCTGCTCAGGTGCCTATCTTGCAAATTTTCTCATGTAGTGCATCTGGCAATAGTAACGGCTAACTCTTATTGAGCAGTTACTACGTGCCAGGTATTGTTCCAAGTAGGTTGCACTTGTCAAACCTTTTCATCTTCCTAATCACCCAACGACACACTGAGATAGAGCACACCTCTACTACAGCGAAGAAATGTAGTAAAACGTCAAGCAACTTGCTCCAGAGAACATCATAAAAGGGGAAATGAGATTTATTCCCATGCTCTCTAGTTCTGGAGTTTATCTTCTCAAACACTTTTTTGCCACCTTTTACAATATGTAGACAACCTGAGAGCTAGGTATGGGTGATCGGAAAGGGAACAGGAAGTCCTGTATTAGAGAACCCGCTAACAGCACCTCCTGAGACCATGGGGGACTCATGCAGTGTGGGACAGTGAGGCTGTTAACACAGGCCTATGGAGGAGCTCTCCAAAGTGCTGACTCCAGGCCTTGCTTCTGGCTCTGTCGCAGAGATTCATCACAGAAGTAGTGGAAAAGGAAGAGGAAGAGGAGGAAGAGGGGGAGAGGAGAAGGAGGAAGAGGAAGAGGAAAAAGAAAAAGAAGGAGGAGGAGGAGGAAGAGAAAGAGAAGGAAAAGAAGAAGAGGAGGAGGAGGGGGGGGGAGAGGAAGAAACCAAGTAGCCAACCAAAGGAGATCTGAGAAACTGACCAGAAACTAGCAGGCCTGGGTTCCAGGGATGACACTATCCTGAAAGGCAGTCAAAAATCTCCTTCGCTGTCTGGAATTTTATTTTCTCTCTGACTGTCCCTTCCCACTTTGGAGGTCATGAGAATGCCCAGCAGTGGCATTTTGATACTATTAAAAAAATTAAACATCTATTATTTATTTATTTGAGTGGCAGTGTATATGTGTTACCACACACATGGAAGTCAGAGGACAACTTATAGGAATGGGTCTTCTACCATGTGGGTCCTAGGGATTAAGCTTGGTTGTCATGCTTGGCAGCAAGTGCTCTTACCAGCCAGCCCTTGGTACTATTTCAGAAAGGAATTCATCGCCATGACATGTAGCAAAGAACCAAATCTAAACTTTATTTGTGCTTTGCAAGCCAGCCACAAGCAGTGAGGAGCTTCTTCCTCCTGAGATTTCCTTTGCATTGGCTTCTTTGCAGCAACCTGTAGAAAAGGCAGATGCGGGCATGTGGACATGCTTAGAGATGGGGATGCACTAGGAGCTGGCTGTTTTAGCTACGGGTTTGATGAACTGCCCTCTTCACACTTGTCTTATGAGCCTTTTGCAGTCACATGAAGTAGCAGAATCTTGAGTCTGTTCAGTAAGGAGTCCACTGCCAGAGTAGAGACTGGGGATTCTTGACAGTCTGTTTTTTCATCAAGGCAGGATATAGAGAAGAATGTTTCCTGAAGGGGGAAATATATAATTTTTCTTTTATGATTCAGAATATGGAAGCGTGGCTAGGGATGCAGCTCACTGTTCCATAGAGTGCTTCCCCAGTAGCAAGAAGCCCTGGATTAAGTCCCCGTACAGCACAAAATGGGCGTGGTAGTGCACCCCAGTCCTCAGGAGGTGGAGGAAGGAGGGTCAGAGGTTCAAGGGCATCCTCTGTTACATAGCAAGTTTGAGGCCAGACTAGGGTACATGAGACCCTGGCTCAAAAGAAAAAAAGAATTATGAATAGGAGTTGAAATTCCCTCATAACCTGTCCTGTCTCGTAACCATGTAGGGTTTCTTTTGTCCTTGTAGGCAACTGAAATCGTTTCGTTCTCCTTCCAGGAGTATTTCATACATATATAAACAAACAGTTTATATATCAATCCATTCCCCCAGGTTTTTGTTGTTCTGTTTTTTTGAGACAGGGTCTTACTCTGCAGCCCAGCTGCCCTGGGACTCACTGCATAACCCAGGCTGGTTTAGAATTCATGGCAATCCTCCTGCCTCAGCCTTCCGAGTGCTGTACTACAACACCAACTCTCTACTCCCTATTTCCACAATTGGGCAAATTTGGCCTGCCTGTCACTGCTGCTTTTTGTGCTGGCCAACATATCTTGAAACATTTTACAACAGCTTCCTTTTCTTTTTCACTGTTGCATAGTATTCAATTCTATGAATGTGCTGTAGTTACTTGTTCTCTCTTGGACATTTAGGTTATTGCCAATCCTTTGTTATTACAAATGGGTAATCTCATGTGCACACTATTTGGCAGGTATGGAAGGACAGCTGTAGAATAAATTCCTAGAAGAGGAATTACTGGGTTAAAAGGGATGAAAAGATAACAACTTTAAATAAATGACAGTGAAGAGGGTGAATCTGTTTAGATTTGACAGAAAATGCCCAACTCTTCTCATCCATGGCCACTAAACAGAATCCTTATCAGAAAAATCATAAAGTCAAACCTTGAGCGACAGGCCCGACTGGTGCTTTATGGCTGCACAAGGGCATCAGAGAGCGAGATCTATCTTCATGTATCCTAAATGAATTCACTCAGCTGCTAGAGTGGGCCTGGTCGGGAAGCCTTCAAGGACAGTTTGCATGACTGTCCCACTGATGCATCCCACTGCCATCTTTCACCCCCAGCAATAAATGCTGCTCCCAACTTAGATAGGAAGATGGCACTACTGACACAAAGCTAGTCTTGAATGCCCTCCTTTACCATTCTTTAAAAAAATATTTATTATTTTTTAATTTTATAAGTATATTGCCTGCATGTATGTAAGTGCACCCATGTTGTGTGTTGCACAACATGGTCAGAAGAGAGCATTGGATTCCCCTGGAACTGGAGTTACAGATGGTTGTTAGCCACCATGTGGGTACTGGGTTAAGAGCAGCCAGTGCTCTTAACCACTGAGCTAGCTCTCCAGCCCCCTTTACCATTCTTTTAAAAAAGTTTATTTATTTGTATTTTATGCGTATGAGTGTTTTGCCCATATGTATGTAAATGCACCATGTGCCCACAGAGGTCAGAAGGGGGCATCAGATCCCATAGAACTGGAGTTACAGATGATTGAAAGCCACTATGTGGGTGCTGGGAACCGATCCCAGGTCCTCTGCAAAAGCAGCCAGTGCTCTTAACCAATGGGCCATCTCTCCCTCTCTCCTATATAAGGGTCTTGATATGTAGCCCAGGTTTGTCTTGAATTTAAGATCCTCCTGCCTCAGTCTCCTAAGTAGAACTATTAAAAGTTAATTTGAGAGCCAGGTTATCACTTGGCAGGCAGATCGCTGTGAGTTCAAGTCTAACCTGCTCTACATAGAGTTTAGGCCGGCTGGAGCTACAGGGAGACCTTGTCTCAAAGAAGACTCCCCCCGCCCCAAGAAACAGTTAATTTGATTATGTTCCAAAGGAATCCTCATAAAAAATTTAAAAAGTTGTGTGTTATGTATATATAGTATATGTTTTGCTAGTGTAGGTGTATGCACACGTGTGTGCTGGTGCCCATGCACATGTGTGTGCATGTGTGTAGAGACCAGAGGTTGACAGTGGGTGTTTTTCCTTAATCCCTGTTCACCTTTATTTTTTGAGATAGGATCTCTCACTGAATGTGAAGCTCATCGGTTTGGCTAGGCTGGTTGGAGCATCGGTGATGCTCCTACCTCTGTTCCCCAGCACTGGGGTTACAGGTGTGTTTCCTCTCTCAGCTTTTTTTTTCTTCTTTTTGTCTTTTTTGAGACAGGGTCTCCTTGTAGTCCTAGCTGACCTGAACTCACTATGTAGACCAGGCTGGCCTTGAACTCACAAAGATCTACCTACCTATGCCTCCCAAGTGCTGGGACTAAAGGCGTGCACCACCATGCCTGGGCCACTCTCAGCTTTTTACATGGGAGTGGAGGATCTGAACTCAGGTCCTCATGCATGCACAGCAGGCACTTACTGACTAAGCCATCTCCCCAGCCTCTGATTAGGTTTCTAGTTTTGGTCACCAGTCATATTGTAATAGGTAGGCATTTTGAGGAAATAGTGCTCCGTACTTAAGGAATAAAGAAATTCAGTTCCATCCTGTGGGCAACAAGTCCTAATTGTCTCCCAACAGCTATTCTTTTTTAGTCTGGGTATGCTTAAGATGGAGTCTCACTATAAAAATCTCTATTACTGGGACTGGAGAGATGGCTCAGTCATTAGGAGTACTGGCTGCTCTTGTACAGGACCTGGGTTAAGTTCCCAGCACCCACATGGCAGCTTAACAATCATTCGTAACTCCAGTTCCAGGGAATCCAACACCCTCTTCTGACCTCCTTGGGCACTGCCTGACATGGGTCCACTTACAAACATGTAGGCAATACACGTAAAATAAAAATAAATAAAATATTTTTTAAATCTCTATTTAAAGCACTTGGGAGGCAGAGGCAGGCAGATCTTTGTGAGTTTGAGGCCAGCTTGGTCTACATAGTGAGTTCCAGGACAGCTGGGGCTACAAGGAGACCCTGTCTCAAAAAGATAAAAAAAAATATCTATTTATTTATGTTTCTTTGAAACAGACTCAGTATGTAGCCCTGGCTGACCTGGAACCTGATTTGCAGACCAAGCTGGCCTCGAACTCACAGAGATCTGCCTGCCTCTGCCTCTGGAGTGCTGGGATTAAAGGCATGCGTCATCATGCCCAGCTCCCTTTTTCTATATAAGATGAGGCCAGCCTTGAAGTTGTGAATCCTCCTGCTTCAACCTCCCCAGTGCTGGTTATAGGCCTGCGCTGCCATGCCTAGCTCATTTTTAAATTTAGTAGTGAGCCCCGCCTCCCCTACTTTGAAGCTGGACCTAGAGTTATTTAGAATAAAGCTTTCCTTGAAGCCTGGTGCATTTCTACATTCAAGTTCTAGCAGGTAGACTGTGAACAAAAGTGGTGTGTGCAACGCATGTGAAGTGTCCTCAGGGAGAGGATTTTTTTTGTTGTTGTTGTTCTTTTTTGAGAAAGGGTCTCCCTGTAGCTCCAGCTGGCCTGTAACTCACTAGGTAGACCAGACTGGCCTTGAACTCACAGAGATCCACCTGCCTCTGCTCCCTGCCCTCCTTCCCCCTAGTGCTGGGATTAAAGGCGTGCACCACCACACCCAGCTACAACTTTAATTTCTGTTGAACCATTGTTATTTTGAAATATCTCTTACTTTTAATTGAGCCCAATGATATGTGACATAGTCCCTAAATTTGAGGACAATTCCAGACTCCTTCCTTCCTTCCTCTCTTTCTTTCTTTCTTTCTTTCTTTCTTTCTTTCTTTCTTTCTTTCTTTCTTTCTTTCTTTCTTTTTCTTTCTTTCTTTCTTTCTTCCTTTCTTTCATTCTCTCTCTTCTCTCTCTCTTCCTTTCTCCATCCCTCCATCCCTCCTTCCTTCCCCCCTCCCTCCCTCCCTCCCTCCCTCCCTTTCTTCCTTTCAGACAGGGTTTCATGTAACCCAGGCTGACTTTGAATTTTCTTTATAGCTGAGGATGACCTTAAACTTCTTATCCTTTCCCCTCCACCTTCTGAATACTTGGATTACAGATGTGTACCAGCATGCCCAGTTTTATGTGGTGCTGGGGATGCATCCAGGGCTTCAAGCATGCTAGGCATGCATTTGACTAACAGAGCTATATCTCCAGCCCACTGGCTTTCTTTCTTTCATTAACTTTTATTTATATTCTTTGAGAATTTCATACATTTATACAATGAAATATGTTCATATCAACCCCACCAACTCCCATTTCATTTTCTGTCAATAATTAATCATTAGCATTGCTTTGGGGATGAAGGAAAGGTACTTCACTGCTAATTTCCCAGAGAAGCAAAGCTATAGTTGCCAAACTCCATGAACTAAGGGCAATTCATCAATGAGTGTACTAATACCTGGGCTTCATCTTTCTTCTACTTCAAAGGCAGTGGTGAGATACTCCTTTGGAACAATCCCAACGAGGCTGTTCAGCTCTCCTACCCACCAGCCGTACATGTTAAATTCCTGAACAGTGAAAAGAGGATGGTGGTTGGAATTTGATCATGCATGTAGAAATCTCTTGCAGTGATGGTGGGTAGTTTCTTTAGTGGCACTAACAGTATGAACTGTTAACACCTTTCACAGGATTATTAAACTTAGCCAAGTCCAGAGGAAGAAAGCAAGTGTGTTCATTTTGCTTTTATCCTGTCTGCATTGTAGATTTAGCATATTTGCATATCTTATGCTATTGCTGAACCTAACAGCTTATTGCTTTATTTTTAATTACATATATGTGTCTCTGTATGTATGCATCCCATGTGTGTTTGGATGTCCTTAGAGACCAGAAGAAGGGGTTAGATCTCTTGGAGCTGGAGTTACAGGTGGTTGTGAGCCACTATATGTGAGTATTGGGAACTGAGCTTAATCCTCTGCAAGAGTAGTCAGTGCTCTAAACCTCTGAGCCATCTCTCCAGCCCCTAACAGCTTTTTTTTTTTTTTTTT